TAAAACCCACCAGCCTGAACACGAGCAAACCCTGGGGAAGGATTATCCATGCCCAAAAGAGGTGGTTTTTGTAGATCTGTAATTACATGGTTTCCTTGCTGAGGTTTGGAACGTGCTGGCCTCAGCCCTGCCAGTGAGGCCGGGCTCTCCATCCCTAAACTTGGCTCCACGTGGATCTGGTGCTGTGGTGGAGCCGTGCCCTGAGGCACCACAAACTCCCAGGGGGACTCAGGAATAATTGCAGGGGTTCTTTGTGGTGTTTGCAAGGCGACCAGCAGAAAGTGAAGGAAACATCAGGCTCCAGGGCACAGTTCCATAGCTTGGCTGTCCCGGGGCAGCTGCTGCAGAAATAGGGAATTTTGTCTGGAATGTGCCTGTTAATGCCCAACTTCCTACTGATCCAGTGGAAGGTGTCCCTGCCCGTGGCGGTGGGGTGGAACTGGGTGGTCTTTGAGGTCCCTTCCAACCCAAACCCTTCTGTTATTCTGTGATTCTACTCCCTTTCCCCTTTCCCAAGGTGCAGGGGACGCATCCCGACTGTTCCGCCATCCTCTATTTCCAAAAGCAAGAAGCGGAATGTCTGGAGATTGTCAGGAGTGAGAGCCAAGCACTGGGAAGCCCTGGGCAGGAAGGTGAGTGTGAGCACCCACCATGCACCAGGATCATCTCCCTCGGGGTGTGCTGGGGGGTCTTTGGAGGGTGATCCATGGCAGGGGGTCGCAGAGTGAGCATGGATGTGGAAAAGAAGGGATCTTCAGGAAAAAGCAGCACTGAGGGAAAGGGTAAGGAAAATCCCTTTGAGAGCCCTAAAAATGCTGCTGCAGGGAGAGAAGGAGGCTGAGGCTGCAGTCAGTGTGGCAGTCAGGTGGGCTGAGGGACACAGACAACTGCAGGGACTCCATCCTGGCAGATTTATAGAATCGTGGAATGGTTTGGATTGGAAGGGATTTTAAAGCCCATCCAGTGCCACCCCCTGCCATGGGCAGGGACACCTTCCACCAGCCCAGGTTGCTCCAAGCTCCATCCAGCCTGGCCTTGGACACTTCCAGGGATCCAGGGGCAGCCACAGCTTCTCTGGGCAACCTGTGCCAGGGCCTGCCCACCCTCACAGGGAAGAATTTAGGGCATTTGGCTCTTTCAGAGTGGTCTGTGCCCCTGGCAGAGCCTCCTGTCCCATCCACCTTCTCTGCACCGATGCCAGGCCACCAGCACTGGTGTCACATCGTGCCTGTCACCACTTCACATCCTCTTGCCTTCCTAATGCAGTTAGTTTTAATGCAAAACATGTTCTAAGCAACGTAATTTTTACATATCTGGGACTTTAAACCAAATTAACTGATTGAAAACCAGTTTTGAAGTGCTGCTTTTTTTGCCTGTTTTTTGGTTTTGGTTTTTTTTTTTTTTTTCTTCAGTTGCATTTCAATTTCAATCCAATAGCAGCAAACCCAATTTTCTGGGCAAAAATTATCACCTGGAGAACGGGAAATGCGTCACTCAACGGGTTTCATCTAAAAGCAGTGTAAAAATTAAGCTGCTCAATAAAGGCACGTAAAGGTGCATAATTGCTGAAGTAACTGCAGAGATACAGTACATCCCCCAGCTTAGCAGAGAAAAGCCAAGTTGATTGGAAAAGGTCCGTTTTGCAGCCCATTTTGTGCCAGCCTGGGGGAAGGAAAATAACCAAGGAATGCATAATTAAAATCAGGATTTAATCTCGTGTTTCCTGCTCGAGTGCCGCCTCTGCTGCCTCTCCCCCCCCCCCTCAGCTGAATTTATCCCTTCCCCCTTGCTTGTGCCAATGTCCCCATTGTCCCCCCAGTGTCCCCACAGCTCCTGTGGACACGTGACACAATGTGATGATGTTGGGAAGGGCTCAGATCCCCTGGACGTGGTGGGAGATGCTCCAAGGTCTCCTCAGAGCCTTCTCTTGTCCAGGCTGAACACCCCCAGCTCTCCCAGCCTTTCCTCAGAGCAGGACTCTTCCATTTCTTGGATCACTTCCATGGCCTTCTCTGGACTGCAGTTCCAGAGGGGTCCATGGAGATGCTCCCAGGGCTGCAGCCCCTCTGCTCTGGAGCCAGGATGGGAGAGCTGGGGGAGTTCACCTGGAGAAGAGAAGGCTCCAGGGAGAGCTGAGAGCCCCTTGCAGGGCCTAAAGGGGCTCCAGGAGAGCTGGAGAGGGACTGGGGGCAAGGGATGGAGGGACAAGACAAGGGGAATGGATTCTCACTGCCAGAGGGCAGGGATAGATGGGATATTGGGAAGGAATCCTTCCCTGAGAGGGTGGGCAGGCCCTGGCACAGGTTGCCCAGAAAAGCTGTGGCTGCCCCTGGATCCCTGGAAGTGTCCAAGGCCAGGTTGGACAAGGCTTGGAGCAGCCTGGGCTGGTGGAAGGTGTCCCTGCCCATGGCAGGGGGTGGCACTGGGTGTTCTTTAAAATCCCCCATAATTCTGTGACCCCCAGAATTGAAGTGACCCCTCTCAGTGACCGTCCCAGGGCCCCTGCTCAGTTCACTGATCCTCCAGAGCAAAAATGAAGTCATACCTTGACAAAGCAGTGACAGCCCTGCAAATAAATCCCTGCCAGCCTGGGCAGATACCCCCAGCCTGCTCTGCTGAAATCAGGGGAAACTAATTACACTTGTCTTGAGTCCACATTCCCAGGCTGGGAACAGATGTGGCTCCAGGTTAATAATGTATATCTGCAAGGTTAATAATGTAGATGTACAAGGAGGAGAGCTGCCCTGGAATGTGATGTCTGGGTCTCATCCTGGGGTGCTGCAGCACAAATTCTTCAAGGCCCTGAGTCTGCCTGGCCATGCTTATTCCCAAGGCAATTCGAGAGTCGTTTTAAGAGGAATTTAGTGCTGGAGACAGAAGCAAAGCACGTTTAAGCTGATCACTGTTAGCAAGTCTTGCAGGGCTTTCTCCTGCCCTCTGGAAAGACATCCTGAGCTGAGCCTCCATGGCTGCTGGGTGCAAAAAATACAGCATAAACCTGCATTATTTTAGAACTCACAGGCAACTCCCAGCCCATCCCACACCCTCATCCCCAGGGTCTCCCCGCAGGAGCTCCGGGGTGGGATGTAGCCCCAGGAAATACCAGGTCCCGTCTCTCCACGGGGCTAAAAGGAGATCTCAGCGCCGGGAGTGGAGGGGGGGGGAAAGTTGTTCCCAGGACTGGAGCCAGGATGCTCCTGATTCCTGAGGAGGTACGGCATGGCCCGGAGATCGGGTGACGGCTCCGCTCTCACCTTACACCCCCGGAGCTGTGGCTGGTGCCGGGGGGCTCCGCGTGTCCCGGGGGGCTCCGTGTGTCCCCTGGGCTGTGCCGGGGGCCGGGGGGGGCTCCGTGTGTCCCCCCAGCACGTCCCTTCTCTCCGGCAGTGACCGTCCCATCCCTCCCCAGGCTGCCGGACCGAGTGGGATGGGGTGAGCTGCTGGTCGGCCGTGCCTCTCGGCCAGTCCCGAGCCGTCGCCTGCCCCGACATCCTCCAAGATGTCCTCCAAGACATCTTCAAGAAGTCCACAGGTGCAGTGAATCCCACCCGGACCCCACGCTCATCCTGTGGGATTGAGGGCTGAGCTGCACCCACCCACCCTGCCGGGGGGCTTTTGTGACAGCCCAGCCCTTTCCCCTGCGATCTCACAGCTCGTGCCTCTCCAAAATATGTCCTTGGTATATATTGCAGTCCAAGCAGGGGACGGGCAAAAGCAGAAATTCAAAAGCAAGGAAAGTCCCCAGATCCTTCCATCGCTCAGTGCCCTGTGGGTAGAGCACTTGGGGACCTCATCCTCCAGCTGGGTGACACCAGGAGAGTCCCTTTGCTGCTCGGTGCCCTCCTTCCCCACACAGCAGCCAAATGCTCCTGACCTGCTCGCTGCCACTCCGAGCCACATGGATGAAAAATGCAGTGTGGGATTGTGATGATTTCAAGGCCAGGTGTTCTCCCAGAGTGGGAATTGCTGCCAGGGGAGCTGCTGCCTCCATCCCCCTTGGAGACAGCGGGGTGTGAAGGAGAGCACCCAATCAGTCCCCCCAGCATCTGAGCACTTGGCGTAATTGGATGGCAAATGAAGTGTTGGTAAATGCATGATTTAGGGCTGGAACAGCTCAGGAGAGGTTTGATGAAGCTCCCTCAGGATGAATAAGCACTTTTTTTTAGCCTAAACTCCCTCCCTCTGTGGGGATTCATGCCTGCTTTCACACCCTGCCCTAAGTTGCCCTCCAGGAGGGCAGCAGTGTGATCTGGGAGGGATGGGGCAGCCAGGCCACTTTGGTACCGTGCTGCTGCCCCTGCTGGGGTGCTGGTGCTGTACTAGGCTGGACATTTTGAGGGTGCTGATGTGGAGGTGATACCCGTGGCTCTCATGAGGTCCCTTCTTGTCGCTGCAGTGCTGATCCAGAGGAACTGCACCGAGCTGGGATGGAGCTCCCCCAGCCCTCCCTACCACAACGCCTGCGAGCTGGAGGCCCTTGGCAGCAACAATGACACCGAGGCCAAGGCAAGGGGGGGTCCCCTGGGGGGCTGTGAGGCACCCACTGCAGCGTCACCCACCCCATATCACCCTGCTCACACTGTTGGGCAAAGAAGCACAGAGATCCTCCCAGAGTTATCTCATTTGGCCTCACCCTTGTTGCTGGGATGCCTGGAGGGACCTGGGCTGGGTCATCACCCTGTCACCTCCCTGTCATCACAGAGCAGCACCTCCCAGTCCATGCTGCCTCACTCCACTGGTGCTTTCCTTTCCAGAAAGGCTATTTTGTCACCATGAAGGTGCTT